CCCTAAAGTGACGTCTGACCCTCAAGAGCTAATTCTTAGGCAGAAAGCCATACTCATCTCTAACAGCCTTCTGCCAGGTCCTACCAGAACCTGATCATCCTCAGCCCCGTATCTTGGAAACAGAAGGAGGCAGAGACAGTGAGCCTCTAGAATGAACTGACCATTGACCAGTCATCATTCTCCCGGGGGGAGGGGTCTCAGGAGACCTCCGGGCCTTCCATACCTCGGAGCTCAGCCTTTCAGTCACGACTCTGGCTAAAACTCCACGAATGAGGCTTTCTGCAGAGCCACGGCCTCACCCGGGGGTGAGGACAGATGCTGGTCATGCTGCGGTTAAAGCCAGGAAGAAGGGCAACAGGGAGGACCGTCCAGCCCCATCCCTCACCTCTGGTGTCCCTTTTCTTCCCCTGGCCTCCCTCTGGAGTGCTTCCTGCCTAGATCTGTGAGCAGGACAAGGGAGCCATGGCTGGCTCCATCATCTGGGTTGAAAATCTCCCAGAATCCCTCTGTCAAACGTCACCTGAGCCTGCAGAGGTCGGACTAGGTCCTCCAACCTGCACAGGATGCTCTCCTCCCAGTCTGCTGTGGCCTCCCCTTCTTGGACTCAACTCCCCTGCAGGGGCTCAGGTCCCCTCTGGCTGGGCCATCCTCCGTAGTTTTGGTCTCTGCTCAGATGCTCCCGCCTCTTGTGTCCTGTGCCCCTGCTTCCAGAGAAAGTTACTGGAAAGATCCAAGCTTCAGCTTGTCCTTTGCTAGACCAGGGACTCTGGGGAAACCAGCTGCTGTTCCTTCTCATTCCCAGACTCAGTTTCCTCCCCTGCAAAGTGCCAAGCGGAATAGAAACCCTATTGTCAGAGTCCTTGCCTTGTGGCCACACTGGACGGAGAGCTGGGGGAAGGGACGGGACAGGGGCTCCTCTCTCTGAGTCTGGGGTCAGAGGCAAAGCTGTTGAGGGAGAAACGATGCAGAAGGAATTACAGAAAGGCAAATGCTCATGCCTGTAAACCTAGCTACTCAGGAGGCTGAGATTCAAGAGCGTGATTCAAAGCCAGTCTACACCAGCAAACCTGAGAGACGCCTATCCCCCATTAACTAGCAAAAACAAAAAAAGGTGGAAGTGATATAACTCAAGTGGTAGAGTGCCAGCCTTGAGAAGAAAAGGTAAGTCCAAGAGAGAGCACAGGGCCCCAAGTTCAAGACCCAGTCCTGTGCCAAAATACGAATAAATGAAGGCAAGGCAAGGCAAGGCAGGACCAGCACTCTGGAAGGAGTCGGGCTGCTCGGTGCGGGGAGATGAGGGTCAAAGGGAGGATGGCCTGGGGATTTCTGAACCTTTACCAGCTGCCTTGGCCTTGGGCAATTTGTTCTCTTCTGCGCTGAAGGAAAGGGAAAAACAAGCTGTCCTGCCAGCCAGTCTCCACCAACTGGGAGGTCCACCCGGAGCTCCCAGCCCAGGCCTGCGGGGATTTCACACAGTCCCGGGTGCTCTCAGGGGGCAGGGGCTTTCTAGGTCATCTTTGTTTATAGTTCCTTTAAAACCCAGAAACAAACCACTCATTAATTCATGCCCTCCTGGGAAGGTGAATATGTCTTTTAAAATTTCAAAGGAAGCCATTAAACCAAGTTGCTAACCATTGTAACTCATAATAAGCTTAATAAGCTTTCCTCTATATTAAAAAAAATTTTTTTTTAACTCTGAATGACTTTCCAGGAAGTTTGGTTTCTTTAATGAGTGACTTCTTCTTCTTCTTTTTTTTTTCTTCTGGCCCTGGAAAGTAGTCAGTCATCTGAGGGTTATCTAGGCCTGGATGATCCAGCCTGGTCACTGGGAAAGATGGCGGCCTGGGGGAGAGGCGGTAAAGTTCCAGAAGTTGTCCACGACTCTGGTTCCACAGAGCCAGCCTCCAGGGCTGAAGGAGCATAGGGCACCCATGAGTGTGTAGAGGGTCTGAGCACCCAGCAGCCAGGCCCGCACCACCTGCTACATCGTCCCAGAGGCTGCTGGAGGTTGTTAGAGACGGTGCCAACCCAAGCCACCCGTGCCCAGCACTGTGCTAACAGACGGTGTCTCCACAAAATCCGGCCACTCTGAGATCAGCATTGATTTTCCCTCTTTAGAGATTAGAAAAGGATGAACTATGAAGTTGCAGGCAGCCGGTAGGCAGCAGCAGAGGTGCACATTTCCCTCCAGGTCTGCACGCTCTCCCAACATTGTCTGCTGCTGCCTTCCAAAGCGGTTGACTCAGGTTACACAGCCCTGGGATTCTTTTTGTTGCTGTTGCTGTTGTTGTTCTTGGGGCTTGAAGTCAGGGCCTGGGCACTGTCCCTGAGCTTTTTTCTCATTCATTTGAGCTGGACTATTGGGACTGGCTTTGAACCACCATCCTCAGATCTCAGCCTTCTGACTAGCTGAGATTACAGGTGTGAGCCTGTAATCTTGCCTTTTCTTTTTCTGGTACTGGGGCTTGAACTCAGGGCTTGGGCGCTGTCCCTCAGCTTTTGCACTCAAGGCTAGCGCTCTACCACTTGCATCATAGCTCCACGTCGGGCTGACCGCTGGGCAGTTGCTGATACAAATCTCTTGTGGACTTTCCTGCCCAGGCTGGCTTCAAATCATGATCTTCAGATCTCTGCCTCCTGAGGAGTAGCTAGGATTCTAGGTGTGAGCCACTGGCATCTGGCTAGAGGCTGCTTTGATATTAAGATAGAATAGATAACGTGATATAAGCAGGTCTGTGGCAAATTGGAATTGCTTTAAGAAGCAGGAGGGGGACCAGGGAGAATGATGAAGGGGGGCGTGTTTGATTGGCATACATTATATACATTATATGTTGACGTGACACACTGGGACCCTCAAACAACTATGTGTGATGATTTTTTTAAAGTCTTCATAAAAAAGGAAGATTTGTAATATAATGCATCCTGCAGATGAGACCCCTAAGACCCCGTGTCTATCTGGTCCCTGGTCCCAGGTCTTTCAGCTTAAGAATGGAACTAGAATCTTCTAGAAAACTTGAAAAAGATTTTAGTTCTAGGGAACATTGATTCTTTTCCACTTCTAATCTCTCCGTCTCTCATGATCCAGATGAAAGACTTATTGAAGTCTGGTTAGGACGCTATTAAAACTATTTGGTGGTATTACAATTTCAACTTATCTTTAACTTCTTTTTAATTACGTGAAGTTTGCAAATCAAGGCTAGGGCTGTGAAGGTTTAAAAAAAATAGAGAGCTATGAAATTTCCTTTTCTGTCTCCTTTCTTTTTTTTTTCATGAAGTGAAATTACCTCTAAGCCCCTGATCTTCCTCTCTGAGCCTATTTGCCAGTCACACATACATTGTTTAAAAGGGCACTATTTACACAGACCTCTGAGATTCATTCAGAAAAAGTGCTGGGCCAGATGCCAATGGCTCATGCCTGTAACCCTAGCTTCTCAAGAGGCTAAGATCTGAGGACCTTGGTTCAAAGCCATCCTGAGGAAGGAAGTTCATGAACTTCTTATCTCCAATGAAAACTGCAAAAAAAAAAAAAAGTGGGAAGTGGGGCTGTGCCTCAAGTGGTAGAGCCCAATCTCAAGCAAACATGTACAGGGGCAATGTCCAGGCCCTGAGTTCAAGTCCTAGAATCAGCACCAAAAAAAAAAAAAAGAAAGAAAAGGAAAAAAAAGATAAACCCTCATCCTATCTATAAGGTCTCATGTGACAGGGTTTGTCCATCAATTCATAATAGCTGACCACACACCCTGACGTTTCTAAGGTTATTGGAATGGCATATCAAGAAGTGGCAAACAAGCTGGGAGCCAACGGCTCATGCTTGTACTCCTAGCTACTCAGGAGGCTAACATCTGAGGATCACAGTTCAAAGCCAGCCTGGGCAGAAAAGCCTGTGAGACTCTTATCTCCAATAAACCACTAGAAAACCATAAGTGGCGCTGTGGCTCAAGCAGTAGAGAGCTCGCCTTGAGCTGAAGAGTGCAGGGATAGCGCCCAAGCCCAGAGTTCAAGCCCCACGACTGAAAAGGAAGGAGGAGGAGGAGGAGGAGGAGGAGACAAACAGCCAGGCATCAGTGGCTCACGCCTGTAATCCTAGCTACTCAAGAGGCTGAGATCTGAGGATCATGGTTCTAAGCTAACCTGAGCAGAAAAGTCCCTGTGAGATTCTTATCTCCAATTAATCACTCAAAAACTGGAAGTAGAGCTAGGGCTTAAAGTGGTAGAGCACCAGCCTTGAGCAAAAAGAGCTGAGGGACAGTGCTCAGGCTCTGGGTTCAAGTCCCATGACTGATAAAAAAGATAGAGAGAGAGAGAAGGAGAGACAGACAGACAGAGAAAAGAAAGAAAGAGGAAGGAAGAAAGAAGGAAGGAAAGAAAGAAAAGGAGGAAGGAAGGAAGGAAGAAGGAAGGAAGAAAGAAAGAAAGAAAGAAAAATGAAAGAAGAAAGAAAGAACAAGGAGGAGAAACACAGGCCCAGTACTGCTGGCTATTCCTGTAATCCTAGCTACTCACGTGGATGAGATCAGGGAATCAGTTTGAGACTAGTCTGGACAGAAAAGTTTACTAGACTCTATCTATAGTTAGCTAGCAAAAAAGGGCTGGAAGCCTGGATCAGGTAGTAGAGCACCAACCTAGCAAGCACCAGGCTGAGTTCAAACCCAATAGACTGCCAAAACCAACAAAAAAAAGTGAATGATAGGACACAGTAACACTTGCCTAGCAGGTGCAAGTCTCCAATTCTACCAACGTGAGCCACCTCTCTATCTTTTTGTTCTGGTTCCATCCTGGCCTCCTTCTAGAGGTTTGCTCCACAGAGGCCAAGGTGCACATTTTATCAAGGCTCTAGAATCATGTCCGGCATCTCTTGAGATTTCCCTGTGCTCCTAAGACCCAGCATGGAGGTCCCAGCAGTTGAAAGACTCCAGCAAGAAGAGACCAGCGTGGCGGCGTGGTTTCCAGGGAGCCCCTGCTTGACGCTGCCATTCCCAGAAGACAAGCAGCCTCCTTACCTGGCTCCACCTGGCTGAGAGCACTCCGGGCATCCGTGGAATCCGCTACGTCCCCGCTCATCTTGATACCTGCGCGGAAAACACACACGGCTGATTTTAATAACAGGTCATCATTTTTCTCACCGTGCCAAACGTGGCTTTAACAAAACAGCAAATGCGAATGTGTAGTTACAACAGCATCAGACTTTCAAATTCTGATTCTCAAACATTAGAATATTCATACGCTTAGAGGCACGCGGGCCCTTCTTCCCCTGTTGGCTCTTTCTCTCTCTCTCTTTCTCTCTCTCTCTCTCTCTCTCTCTCTCTCTCTCTGCCTTTCTCCACAGCTGTGACCAGCTAGGCCAAGACAAGTAAAACTTCAACAGGGGAAAGGGAGGGGGGGCCTGGGGATCCTTCCCTTCACCAGTCTTCTTTTTATTTAGGATTTGGGGAATTAACATTATTTCCTTAAAAGCCACATAAGGCTGCAGGATCACGAGTTCAAGGCCAATTAAACTACATTTAAAAAAAAAAATAAAAATTGACCTGGGAATGTGGCTGAGGTAGTAGAGCTCCTGTCTAGCAAGTATGAGACCCTGAGTTCAAATACTAAAACACACAAAAAATGGTAAATTAAAAATATATATACGTAAATCACTATCTTGGAATCAAATCCTAGTTTCTCCATCTTTGCTCCTGGGAGATTCTGTGCTGTGAAGATCCTCACCTAGTCCCCAAAATTGCTCAGTGATAAGGGACTGCCACCCCAAAATGCAAACCTACACAGGGCCCCAGAATCAGCCCCACAGTGTCTGCGCCCTGGTTCCCCTCACTTCAAGAAATGGAACATTTACCCCTGACAGCCTGCTACCCTACCTAGGAGGCCCCTATGTCTCTCTCAGGCGAGCAGAGGAAAAAGGCAACTCTGAGCTCACTCACTCTCTCTGTTCCTCTCTTTATGACACCACTCAAACATGGTCGCTGTTAAATACAGAAGAATATTTTATTCAAATCGTGTTGACCCCTCCCACCTTTTACCTCCCCTTCTCCGGGCAGGTACTTTAACTCTTTAAAAACCAGATAAAGGCTGGGTAAGGCACTTTGCATATGAGGCTTCCCAGCCAATCCCAGTGAAGGAAGCAGCCTTCATTTGCATCAGGTAATCAGGCAGTTGGCAGTGTGGATGGTTTGAGGTCTGGAGATGATCAGGATGGGGTGGACCTTGTCCTGCTTTCTTTCTTTTTTTTTGTGTGGGGGGGAGAGGGGGCACTGATATCTGTAGCTGTGACAGAGATTTATACATCTTGGTGTACAATGACTGCAGCACCAAGCAAGAAAGAGTTGGGGAGACCAGAGATTCAGAGCTCTTAGGACACCCCCAAAAGTAGGCAAGAAAGTAAGGCAACTCTTACTCAAATCAAGTCACGTGTGTGTGTGTGTGTGTGTGTGTGTGTGTGTGTGTGCACCAACTGAAGGTAACTATCAGGAGTGCCTAGGGTCCTTCACAGACCCTCACTGCACAGTATGGCCCCAGAGCCCTACAGGGAGACCTGAGACCCTATCCTCTTTGCACTGCATTTGAGAGGCATTTCTTGGAGCCTAACCTCTGTCCTTCCTGCTACTGTTTCTAACTTTCGGTGTAATCCACCATGCATGAGGACGCAGAGCTAGTGTGGACCGCCTGGCTGCATTTGCAGAAGGGCCTCTTTGGTAGCTTGCTGCTACTCTGCGGGTCCGGTTGTGGGGCCTGAACTCTGTCCCTCAGCTCTTCAGCTCAAGGCTAGCTAGTGCTCTACCACTTGAGCCATAGCTCCACTTCCGGCTTTTTTTTTTTTTGCTTATGTGGTGCTGGGGAATCGAACCCAGGGCCTCAGGCATGCAAGGCAAGCGCTCTACCACTGAGCCACCTTCCCAGCCCGCTTGGTGCTACTCTGCTGGATGAATGGACTCCTCCTGCCCCTTCCCTGGAGCTGGGCATTGCATTCTCAGCTCCCACCTCACCACAGTGCCAGGAGTCCCCCATCAGAGACTGCCAGGAGGCCCTGGCCGGGGGGGTTCACACCTGTAATCCTAGCTGCTTGGGAGGCTGAGATCTGAGGATCACAATTTGAGCCTAGTCTAGGCAGGAAGTCTGTCAGGTTCTTATTTCCAACTAATCACTAAAAAAAACTAAAAAAAAACTGGAAGTGGAGCTGTGGCTCAAGTGACAAGTGCGCCATCCCTGAACAACAACAACAAAATAATGGACAGCATCCAGGCCCTGAGTTCAAGTCTCTATACCGGCACAACAAAGAAAAGAAAATGAAAAAGAAGCAGGAAGGAAGTTCTTTGCCTCTGTTTCAGCAGATCCAGTCAGTATAGGTTTTGGCATCGGACAAATCCGAGCATAATCCAGTGTCTTTAGCTGTGTAGGTGACGGTGAATTTTCTCTCCCAAAAGCCAGGAATAATGAAACACGTCTCCTAGTGTTATTTGGTGAAGATCAAATTAAATGATAAGACAAACAAGGAAGGGATCTGATGACACAGACATCAGCGGTGGCATGAGCTCCTTTCTCTTCTTGCCTCCTCGTCCTGCCCACCCCCTCAACCCTGCCCCATCCCCTCCAACAGCTGGGGTGATCTGTCTCCAGATCACACACAAGGAACACAACCGTTCCTTACCAGGGAAGCCCTTAGCAGTCTCCAGATTATGCTTCCTAGGAAAAGTGCTCATGGGGACAGGCTGAGGGCCAGTATCTGAGCCAACTTTATCTCAAACTTCCCACATTTAAAAAAAGGAAGTCTGTAAGCTTGACTACACCCAGAAGCCAAACCACTTATTCTTTCCATTTTAGATTTGATGTTGTTGTTGTCCATGGTGTGGCTTGAACTCAGGGACTGGGCGCTGTTCCTGAGCTTTTTCATTCAAGGCTACTGCTCTACCACTTTGAGCCACGGCACCACTTCTGATTTTCTGGTGGTTTATTGGAGATAAGAGTCTCATGGACTTTCTTGCCCTGGCTGGTTTGGAACCATGATCCTCAGATCTCAGCCTCCTGAGTAGCTAGGATGACAGGTGTGAGCCACTGGTGCCAGGCTAACACTTAGTCTTCATCATACATAAAAGCCAGGTCCTTCCCTCTGCTATGGCTTGGCCGCATCATGACAAGCCACTTGTGGGGAGAAGTTGGACCCCATGTGGAGGGGTGACGTGAGAGGACCTGTAACTGTGATCTTTCTCCAGGATGCTCTGATACCGACAGCCTGTCTCCTCCAGGCTGCAGGCTGAGGCTGATGGGTGGGTCCCGCGCTTGGGTCTCAGCCTAAAAAGGGCAACACCGAAACTCCCGGAGAAGCTCTAACCCTTCACCTGTCGGACAGCACTTGCCTTACCGGGGTGAGTGGGAGAGGTGTGGGGCGGGGCGGGTTCCTGTTCTTATCTCAGCCTGCCTAGGTAGGCTCCTTGCCAGCCGCCCTTCCCTGGGGAGCCTCAGCTACCCCCATGCCACATAGACCCTAGCTCTGCTTCTTCCAGCACCATCTGCTGAAGCCGGCCCTGGCCTGACTCGAGGGGGCACCACTGCTCAAACATCTGTGAGCCCCCGGGGAACGCTGGGAGGCAGCAATAACCCCAGGCAGTGGGCGGGGGGGTCCAGGGCCCCAGACCTTTTGGGTCCAGGCTGCTCTGGAAAAATAGAGGCCCCATGCCTCTGCTCCGTGTCCCTGGCAGATCTTATATCTGGACCTGACTTTGGGGAACTTCTAGGGAGCCACCAGTCCCACGTCTGAGCTAGCCAGTGCTATGCTTCTCCTCCGACTCTCTTATCTCTTCCTCTCCCTCCCACGAAATCAGGGTTTCAACCCAAATGGTACTCCTGAGCTGCAACTGGCGAAAGTCTGGGACACTCAATCCTTCTCTTCCAGCTCTCCCAGTCCTGGGGGGAGAAGTGGGAAGAGCTCACAGTGACAAACACTGGGAAAGAGACACCCTGGGGCCAACCAGGTGCCCCGCTCTGGCTGGCTCTGCCTCATTTTTCTTCTCCCCCTCCCTGGCTGGCTGGCTCACTCTCCTAGGCCTGGTTTTTGGTCTGCGAGTCTCTGATTGGCTGGGAGTCCCCTGTCTGGCAGCTTCATGCCTGCTCAGGTCTTCTGGGAAGTTCAGCATGAGGTGCTCCAGGCAGCCCTGTTCATGGCTTATACCCAGGTTATCAGGGCAAGACAGTGACCGCAAAGCTAATGAAGCCATCGGAATGGGGACCTGGGAGAAAGCCTATGTCCTGGGTTCTCTGTGGTCCCATTCTGCCAAACTGTCCAGGAAATCATGGGTCCCAGGAGTGCAGAACTGGGAATTCATAAATGTACCAGTAATCAAGGATCAGTACCACCGAAGATTACTGTGCTGGGAAAAAGAGATCACAAAGAGCACCCTAGAACTAAGGGATCCTACAGAGAGAGAGAGAGAGAGGTCCAGGAGTCCTTCCCTAGAGGGAAGGGACACCTGCCCCCTCCTGCCTCCCACTGCCAAAGATCCTACAAAGACCTGGAACAGAAAAGCTCAGAAAGGCTGCAAACACTAGTCCCAAACTGAGGGGGCCCCTTGGAGGTGCCACAGAAGAGAAGCCTCGCATCACAGAAGGGCCAAGATGGGGAAATCTGGAGGAGAGACCCCACAGCCCTGGGGTTCCCGAAAAACAGGCTGGGAATGGACAACAAGTAAATTCAGGGTTTTAGAGACCCCACACCCAGGTGGATGGATGGACCCCCATTCTGAGGGGCCACCCCCGCCCCCTCCCCCACCTCCAGGGACACAGGGGTGGAGGTGGGCATCTGAGAAGCATCATCCAGGGGTGGGCTGCAGGGGGGGGCAGCCGGGGCTCTGCACCCCTCTCCTGTTCCCTGGCAGATCCTCTAGGCCTCTGGGCTGCTTCCCTGCCAGGTCTCAGCCGTCCCGCCTCCTCCCACACCCCCAGAGCAGCAACCTCCCTAGACTGGAAGGTGGAAACCCCCAGGAAGTCTGCAATCTTGGCCCTAAAGACCTCCCCACCCACTGTCAGGGCCACCTTTGCAGGAATCTTGTTCCCAGAAGAGCCCTGGCCTTCTAGATGGGAAATA